CCGGCCTCTCCCGTCCTCTGGGTGGGCGGGCTGATGGAGCTAGGCATCCGCCCATGCCTTGTCGGGCTGAGCGAGCGCCAACACGGGCCCCAACTCCCAGGTAACACTGTTTTCCATCTTGAAGTTCAGACTGGAAGCAAGATGGACAACGTGTCGCAAAGACTGGCAGCTGAGGGGAAGGACATAGACGAGCTCAAGAAACTCAACAGCATGATCGTCCAGCGGCTCAACCAGCTGGAGGCGGCACAGAACCAGGGAGAATCTCCTGAGCAGCTGGGCCCCTAGCTTCCGAGCCTGTGCGGGGCCAGAAGCCCAGCCCCGCCATCCTGCAGGCAGCCCACCATCTGGGCAGAGAGCCGGCCCGGCCAGCCCTGCCCAGGGATGGGAACCGCCTCAGGGCCAGGGGTGGGACTCGTTTCACCCCCGTTCTTCTGCTGTAACGGGGTGGGGGGTGGCTGGCCTGAAGGACAACCACAGGAAGCCCGAGGATCGGCCGGGTGCCAATTCTCCCACCAAAGCGCTTCCTCCCCAGAGCAAGGCCACGGCCCCAGGGAGGTCCCGGCCTCCCACGCCTTTGTACGCTCCCTCATGAGTGACGGCATTCCTGTCCCAGGGAACTGGATGATGACAGATCTTCTTTTCAATAAAAGAGATTCAGCTCGGGGGAATGGAACCTGGACTCTCATTTCCCCCATGATGACAGGGATGGGCGGGGGAGCGAGCTGGCTGCCTCCGGGCATTGGCGTGTAGCCACGTGGCTTGTGGGGCAGGGTCAAAAGAGAGAGCCCAGTGTATTTCAGCCAATGTGTGTGGAGCTCTTTCTGCAAACGGTGTTTTCACGCCTGTGTTGTCTGGTATGAGCGCTGCCACCCCAGCTTTCCAGTTTTTTTAATTTTTACGAAACCTCTCTTTCTGCCCCGTTCCTTTCCGTCTTATGTCTTTGGCTCTGAAGTCGGTCTCTGGTAGACGGCATAGGGAAGGGCCTTACTATCTAGTCAGCTACTGTATGTTTTCTGATTGGAGCACTCAGTCCATTCAGTTCCTCCCCCAGTGTCCCTGGTGCCAGTCCAGCGACCCTGTCACACTGTGGTTTAATCCACTCTCCAGGAATGCTGCCCCTGGCCGGCACACGGCCCGTGGAGGGGAGGGGCCGGAGGGAGGGCACCGATACCTTAGGGAGAAAGCTGTCCCTGGCCTGGCCTGTGAGAGGGTCATTCGCATTTTCACAGGAGACAGTTCCCCTCTCCAGCGGTGCGTGTGTGTGTGTGTGTGTGTGTGTGTGTGTTAAAACGTCTGCCTCTCCGTTGGACATCAAGGCTTCCGGCTCAGTTTCCTGCAGGTTAACTTCTGCCCTTCACAGGGCAGTGAGGCGCCCCGTTTGTCAACAGTCCCAGTTACTGGAGCCCAGAGGCTCCTGGGCTTCTAGGGCAGGCGCGGGGGCGGGGAGGGGCGTGGGTGTGGTGAGGGCACCTTCTCCGCCTCACCTGCAGTTCTGGTGCCAGCAGGTGGAGACCGGGTGCCTGTTGCATGGTCACCCGGTGAGTTCTCGCCGGAAGGTTGGGAAGGGTGGGGACTGGCCTTAGCTGACAGCTGTACCTACGGGACAGACCACCACGGGCAGGTCCGTGACCTCTGCGCCCGTGTCACCCCCACCGCCGGGGTCTGCACTCAGCCCGGCATCAGAGCCTCCCAGCTCCGGCTCCGGCACCAGTGCCCCCAGTGCCGGTGGAATGACCGAAGGAGGAGATGGGAGCCCGGCCCGGTGTGAACACCACACAGTGGGGGCGAGGCAGTTGGGGGGGCGCTCCGCAGGGGGAGGACCCGCACCCTTAGCCTCCGGGCGAGGCGGGGGCGGGGGTGGGAGGTGGATTCCACGCGGGCCCAGGCGGTGAGGGCCGGACCAGGCGGGGCGGGCGGGAGGCGGCCGCACAAAGAGCCGGGCCAGGGGGAGGCGCGGGCCGGAGCGGGGCTGGCAGTCGCCTCCTCGCCCTTGGGCCGTCCTTGCCGTCACGTGCGGGAGGCGCCCGCCCCGCGGTCCGGGGAACCCGGGGAGAGGGGGGACCGGAGGCCCCGGTGCGAGGAGGAGCGATGGCCCCGGGGGACCAACACCGCCCTCCGGGGGGCCACACCCCGCGGGGGCTGTGCGCCTCCGAAAAGCCTCCCGGTCTATTGGGGGGACAGGGCGGCCCCCACAGAGGAGACCCCCGGCGGCTCCCCCGCCCTCCAGAGCCCGGCTGGCCCATCGGGGGGTCCGCTGGCCCATCGCGGGGTCCGCAGGTCCCTCTCGGGGCCGGGCCGCCGCCGGCGCCCGGGGCGGGGCTCCAGGTGCCGCGGGCGCGCGCCGGGCGCGCTCCGGCCGAGGGCGGGGCGCGGGGCGGAGCGCGGGCGGCCGGTCGGGCTCCGCCGCCGCCGGGCCAGCGCGGGGAGCGCCGGAGAGCACGGAGCCATGAGCCGCCGGCCCCCGGGCGCCGCGGCGCTGCTGCTGGCGCTGCTGGCGGAGGTAGGGCCGGGCGGGCGGGCGGACAAAGCGGGCGGGCGCGCGGGGGGCGCGGAGGCGCCGGGGACCCGCTGCGGGAGCGCGCGGAGGAGCGGCCGCCGCCCGGACCTGCGTGTGTCCGGCTGGGACGCGTGGGGCCCGGAGGTCCGGGGCCCCGGAGGTCGGGGGGCCCGGAGGTCGGGGGCCCCGGAGGTCGGGGGGCTCCCCGCCCCGCCCCGCCCCGCCCAGCCCCGGGGACGGCGCGTTCCTCCCGCTCTTGAAGCCGCCGGGACCCGGGAGCCTGGCCGCGCGGCCCCGCGGTGTCGTCCCGAGGGGCCCGGATCCCGGGGGTGGGGGTGGGGTGGGGGGCAGGATGCGGGGGGCAGGATGCGGGGGGCGGGATGCGGGGGGCAGGATGGGGGGGGGCAGGATGGGGGGGCGCGCAGGCGCAGAGCCGGGAGTTTGAGGAAGTCCCGGAGCCGCGGGGCGGCGGAGGGAGCGGGGCTCCGGGCGCGGGCGTGGGCACGTCCCCGGGGCGGCCCGGAGGGATCCGGGAGGACGGAGTGGGAGGACGGAGCGGGAGGACGGAGGGGGAGGACGGAGGGGGAGGACGGAGCGGGAGGATGGAGCGGGAGGATGGAGGGGGAGGACGGAGCCCGGAAGACGGAGGGGGAAGACGGAGCCGGGAGGACGGAGGGGGAGGACGGAGGGGGCAGGACTGAGCGGGGTGGATGGGGGGGAGCGGCCGGAGCCCAGCTCCGTCCTCGCCCGGGGCGCCTCCTCCTGGGGTCACCCCGGCTGCTGGGGGACCTCGCCCGCCGGGCCTCCGGGGAGGAGGGAGCTGGGCTCCGGCCGCTCGCACTTCCTCCGCCGAAGGACGTCCGCTCCGTCCGTGGAGCCGGAGGTCCGGTGCCCGCGCCCCCGCCGCCTCTCCGGGGCTGCGGCTCCGTTCTGGGCGCCGGGGAGTCGGGGTCACCGCCCTGGGGGGACCCCGCTTTGGGGAGGGGTAGGTGGAAGGGTTAGCCCAGGCTCGCGGCCCGGGTGGCGGTGGCGGTGGCCGTCCCGGTCGCGGTCCGCTGCCCCCGGCGCCCTCCTGCCGGTGTGGGCGCCCCTCCCGCTGGCGCCCCTCCGGGCCGGAGTGTAAAACCTCAGGAGCACTTCCCGGGGGAGGCACCGGCCACTGTGTGCCCACCAGCAGGGTGTCCGGGCCTCCCGCCCAGACTCCCGCCCCTTTCCGATCCGCGCTGGCCGAACCCCAGCGGCCTGGTCAGTCTGGGCACCGCCGGCCCCGCATCGCTGGGTGGCGGCGCCCTCCCTGCAGCCCTGACCCGACCGCCTCGGGGTTCTTGGCAAAAGAGCTGTTTGGGCCCTGGCTGGCGCTGCCCCGTGGTTAGAGTGCTGACCGGCCCGGGAGGGTCCCAGGTTCAATTCCCAGCCCAGGGCCAGTACCTGGTGTGCAGGCTCCATTCTTGGCCCTGGTCAGGGCAGGCAGGGTACCCGTGGGAGCCAGCCAGTCCGTGTAACTTTCTCACCTCCATGGATGTTTCTCTGTCCTCCCCCTTCCCCCAACCCTCCCTCCTCCATCCCTTCACGCTCACTGGAAATCAACGGGAAAATACTCCTGGGTGAGGATTAACCGCCAACGCCTGCTGTATGGTGTGCTCGGGTCACGTCCGAGAGGTGGATGGCTCTTTTTTTATTATTTATATTTTATTGATTTTACACAGAGAGGAAGGGAGAGAGGGAGAGGGAGTCAGAAACGGCGGTGAGAGAGAAACATCGATCAGCTGCCTCCTGCACATCTCCCACTGGGGATGTGCCTGCAACCCAGCTACATGCCCTTGACCGGAATCGATCCTGGGACCCTTCAGTCCGAAGGCTGATGCTCTATCCACTGAGCCAAACCAGCCAGGGCGGTTGACGGGTCTTAAAAGGAGACGTGCCCTAGCTGGTTTGGCTCAGTGGATAGAGCATCGGCCTGTGGACTGAAGGGTCCCAGGTTTGATTCCGGTCAAGCACTTGAACCTCGGTTGCAGGCACATCCCCAGTGGGAGATGTGCAGGAGGCAGCTGATCGATGTTTCTCTCTCACCGACGTTTCTGACTCTCTATCCCTCTCCCTTTCCTCTCTGTAAAAACCAATAAAATACCCTGTACGCGGTGCTGGCATTGCGTGCCGGTGACAGTGTTTTGCGAGGGCTGCGGGTGCAGCCACTTCCGGCGATGGATGGTTATCCTAAGGCGCCCAGGAACTCATCACCTGGAATCTTAGACGCTGATGTGGATCGGAGCTGTTTGCCTCCTAAGTTGGTAGCCCGGGTTGCATCGCCAACATGTTATCAGAATGCACGCCTCAGATGCCCTTGGATGTGTCACAGCCCCCTGGTCCCCCACGCGGCCCCCCGGCCCCCCTCGGCCCCCCGGTCCCGCACACAGGCCCCAGGTCACACACGTGGCCCCCGGTCACACGGCCCCCCGGTCACACAGCCCCCGGTCCCGCACACAGGCCCCAGGTCACACACGTGGCCCCCGGTCACACGGCCCCCCGGTCACACAGCCCCCGGTCCCGCACACAGGCCCCAGGTCACACACGTGGCCCCCGGTCACACGGCCCCCCGGTCACACAGCCCCCGGTCCCGCACACGGCCCCTGGTGAGCCGGGTGGCACACAGTGGGCTCTCCTGGGTCTGTGGGCAGAACGGGAGGGAGGAGTCTGACAGCTCCCACAGCCCGGGAGGTGTCCGTCCTGCTCCCCGAGCTGCTTGCATTGTAGAGGCTGGTTGATCATCCACCACCCGGAATGTCGGAATGTCAGTGTCGGGCGCTGGCGACGGGGGTCCTCCACGCCGGCCCTCCGGGCCCTGCTCCCCGCTGGTGCTGCCAGGGCCCCTCGGAGGGGACCTGGCACCTGTTTGGAGAAGGCCTCCCCGCCTCCCTGACTCCCCTCACTCACCCCTCTGTAGGAGCTCCCGTACTGGGAGACGCACAGGCGGCAGGTCCCTGTGTTTGCTCAGCGGGCACCTGGGCAGAGGGCTTACTCCCCGTCCTGAGCACTTCGCAGACACCCGCTCCCCCAGAGGAACAAAACAAAAGCATAGCAACTCCTCATCCTCTCAGCCGGCCGTCTCCCCACTTTCACTTCCCGGGGGAGGGAGGGAGGTGCTAAGGAAGGTGTCCAGAGGGTCCCCCCGGGTGCCTGTGGGGGTGCAGGAAGCCCAGGCCGAGGGGCTGCAGGCACGTCCGTGCGGGGAGCTGACCACGCACAGGGCGTCCAGGCTGATGGCTACCTGGGAGGCAGTCACCCATCAGGCACGGACCCAGCAGCTGGGCCCTAGGGCCCGGGCACAGGTCCGCAGGGAGCGCTGCCATTTAGCACCCAGTCCGGACCCCGGGGTGGGGGTGCCCGCCGGCCTCGCCAGGGCTGTCCGCTTTGTCCTCCTCCCCGGGTGGCTTTTCAGGACCTGGGACCCATCCGAGGTGGACCTTTCCTTTTTTAAAAAAAATTTTTTTAATGATTTTTTACAGAGAGGAGGACATGTGCCCGCAACCAAGATACATGCCCTTGACCGGAATCGAACCCAGGGCCCTTGAGTCCACAGGCTGATGCTCTATCCACTGAGCCAAACCGGTTAGGGCAGCCTTAGCTTTTTTGTATGTATAAATGTGTTTATGTGTTTTTATTGATTTCAGAGAGGAAGGGAGAGGGAGGGAGAGGGAGCCATCCATGATGAGAGAGGATCATGGATCAGCTGCCTCCCGCCCGCCCCCACTGCGGATGGAGCCCACACCGGGCCTGAGCCCTGACCCGGAATCTGCGGGGACCTCCTGGTTCACAGGTCAGCGCTCAGCCACGGAGCCGCGCCGGCCGGGCCGCGGAGTCATTTTTGCTCCGAGGGCTCCATCCTTACTGAAGTGAGCCCGGAAATGGGTGCTCCGCGCAGGGCTGGGGTTCCCCCATCCTTCCGCGGGGGTGCCCCCCACCGGGTTACCCAGTCCAGGCCAGGGCTCCGTAACTTCTGGATTCTCTCTGGAGCCAGCACGCTGTAAGCGAGGCTGTCACGTGTCTGAAAGTTGTTCTGGCAGCCGAAACGGGTGTGGCTCAGTGGATAGAGCCGTTCGCCTGCGGACTGAAAGGGCCCAGGTTCGATTCCGGTCAAGGGCATGTACCTTGGGTGCGGGCACATCCCCAGTAGGGGGTGTGCAGGAGGCAGCTGATTGATGTTTCTCTCTCATTTATGTTTCTAACTCTTTATCCCTCTCTCTTCCTCTCTGTAAAAACTCAATATATTGAAATATTAAAAAAAAAAAAAAAAAAAAGAAAGAAAGAAAGAAGGAAGGAAAGTTGTTCTGGAAAAAGAACAGCCTTCTGGGGCCAGAAGGGGCGGCTGCTCTCAGAGTGGCTGGGCAGTGGACGTTATCTCCTGGGTCGGTGAGGGGATCAGTGCGTGTTTTTATAAGGTCCCGTGTATGCTCGCACCCAGGAGCTTGGGATCAGAGCCCAGTCACGTGTCGGAGATCTGTGGGGTTCCTGTCTCCTGCCAGATGCTTCCGTGCCCGGGAATCCAGTGAACGGGGCGGCCCGGGTGCCAGTTTTCTGAAATAACCCTCTTCAGGCCGCCCACACCGCGGAGTTTTTAGAATCAGAGCGACGTGCCATTTGAATGAAAAAGCCGAGTGGAGGGAGTTTTTCTCTGGCAGCTCCGGGAGGCGGGTGCCTGCGGAGAGGGGACTGAAAGGTGCCAGGTTCGATTCCGGTCAAGGGCACAGGCCGGGGTTGTGGGCTCCATCCCCAGAAGGGAGCATGCAGATATCTATCTATCTATCTATCTATCTGTACTTTTTAATTGATTTCAAAGAGGAAGGTAAAGGGGGAAAGAGAGAGAGAACCATCAACGATGAGGGAGAATCATTGATTGGCTGCCTCCTGCACACCCCCCACTGGGGATTGAGCTGGCAACCCGGGCATGGGCCCTTCACCGGAATGGAACTGGGATCTTTCAGTCTGTAGGCCGACACACTATCCGC